GCAAGAGTTTGTGTGCTAAGAATGTTTTTGTACTGCAGGCTAAAATCCCCTCTTGAAATTTGGTTGTGGAAAGAGGCTTTTTTCTATTATAGTACTAATAAGAAAAATTAGCTTTTCCTAGTCTTAAAATTATGTCCAGTTATTTCACTTATCAGCTTGTGGTTTACTGTAGTCCCAAATTTATCAATTAACATAATTTTTGAGTTTTAATTTTTCTAAATAACATATTGTAACTAAATTTGCTTCTGTGTTGTCTCAAGGCTGCTGGGTCTTGGTGGTACACAATTCATTTTCTAGTATTTATATTTATTGATGGAGAAATGGTAGGACATTTCTCTATTTGTTGTATATTATAAAATAATGTGATTGAAAAACTCAATGAAATTGGTCACCATCTTAGACACTGTTAGTAATGGAGTAACAAAGGTTATCAAGAATTTACAATGTACTGTAAAATGTGAACTGCAATTAGTAGATATTGTTCTGATCAAATCTGAAAATCTGTGATATTTTTACTGTTGTGCGCATTTTATTAAACTATAAACTAATGAAGGAAAATCTATTTGTGATTTTGAAGTTATTAGGTAAAGACTTTTTTTTCTGTACTTGCCATTTGTAAGCCACTAAACAGTGATTTTTCTTTTACTTGTAAATTTCTTAACAATAGAAGCCAATGGCTTGAATATTTGCTCAAGGTATGTAGGTGCCTGTAGTAGGTATGTTTTTATCATTTGCGCCAACTTATGTTCTATTCGTGCTTCTTAACTAACTTTATTTCAGTTATGTTGCTACTTGGCAATAAAATTGAATAAAGACAAAAACAAGAAAAGTTCATACCTGATTGAAACAATTCTCTACAACTCATGTCCAACCCAAAATTTTCTTTTCTGTTTATTCCACAAGAGTTAAAGAACATACACTTCAAGAACCAGAATTTTATCAATGATTATTAACCCTTTGACCCTTACAAGTGATTGGCATGTAATTTCTCCTTACAATATCACCCCTGAATCACACATTAAGGTAATGAGAATAAAGGGAATGATCACCAACTAAAGAAGCTCTTGATTGTTAAACAAATTCTCCTTGTCAGTACCATAGGAAATGTATAGAGAACAGTATGGAGAAATTGTATACTGATGTTGGGGTGTAAAGGGTTAACAATGAAGTTATTGTCAGAGTTATGGAACTGTTTTGAACTTCTTTCCAGAAATTCAACCTTAGAATGATACCCACATCCTCAATGATTTCTACAGTGTACGTGCTTAAAGATATAGAATGGACTGTTTCTTGAAGCAAACAGCCTTTACAAGGAAAAACATAGGGTTTGGAGAACAGCTAACATTCAATCCTAACTTAAAATTGGAGGTTCTTTTGGTAAACCTGAAACTTGAAGCTTGAAGTTTACATCAACTGCAATCTTAAACAGCACTGTAATCTTTTACAATGATGTTACCAATTGAGAAGTTCACCCCACAACTCTGTTCTCCAACTATCTACCCTCAGATAATCAGAAAAAACTACAGGGCAAGAGGAAAAAAATCAACAACAACAAAACAAACTGTTGTGGATAGACCATTGTTCTGATAAAACAATGAGAAGTTGAACTGTGCATTTTTGCAGCAATGTGATGAAAACATTGATATGAAAACTGTCCCATAGCCTGATAACAGACATCTTTCATGTACTTTTTCAACTGTCATGAACAAATGTAGAATCAAACACTCGATACTGAACCTTTCTGCAATCTTTATCAGGGAGATATGAAAATATGCAGAGTTCTAACCATGGTCTTTTATCACCCTTTGGATCTTGGTACACACATTCAATAGAGTTATTTGGATTATTTGTCATAAACAGCATATGTTCCTGGATGGTGTTTTGAAGAGATGCTTGGACTAAAAATTCTTCTGGCGGTGGAAGACCGGCAAAGAAAGTTTTTGCATCCTTATCAAAGACCAATGCATGGAGAAGGCCAGAATCATCCTCAAGAACAAATGAAAACATATAAGAAAGAGTCATCTCCTGACCACACGAAGAGCATGGGATGACATCACTGTCAGCAGCAGAACAAACAGAACCGGGACTTTCTTGAGGAAAGTATTTACAAGACTGACAAGATCTCCGTATGAAAGACTTCACATCTGATGGTAAATACATCATTGCCTTGACTCTACAGCGAAATTTGTATGGAACAGTCTTGTATGTCTTGATCTCTTTCAAAGAACTGAAAGCAATGCTAGGGTGCTCTGTTATTGTACACGATGTCTGAAGTGCCCGGTTCATTTCATTTGTGGTCAAAGAGTTACTTTCCTTCTTTTTGTTAAAGTTCTCCATTTCTTGTTGAATTCCACTGTGGTCAGTTGTTTTGGGTCCATCATGAACATCAACAAATCCATTCTCTATGGCTTCTGATTGTTGTTCTGTATTCTGGTGGGTCACTGAAGCTTCTGCTTCAGCTTCAGCAACCAACTTCAATGTGGAGCTTACTGAAACCATGGGATCGCTCATTGACACAATCTCCACACCACGCCCACATATTGTACCTCCGTGTACTATGAGACTAACACGAGGGCAAGACAGCACCAACTGATGAAAGAACAAATCAAACCAATTGCTTTGGTATAAATTGGCTAGTCATTCAAAACTCAACAAGACAAGCTTATGTTTTTAGTTTAGTTTTTTTAACAAACATTACATTTTTACAAAGTAACACTCAAATCTTTTGCTATTTCTTTACCCAGCTCAAAATTTACCATCTTATTCTATCTACAAACATGACGCTGTTGACATTGCTGATCTTTGCAGTCTTTGTCCCATGCTTGTGACAAGAGAAAAAAAAAATTCACTCTATCTTTACCAGGCTCAAACTTTAGCATTTTTCTTATTCTATTTACCAACACAAACACTATTAGGCTACTAATTTAGCTCCTTATCTATCAAGGAATCAATAGCGAGTTTAGACCAATTTGATTGCAGAGTTGTGACAGGAAACTAGAGGATTAATTCTAACATCTGATAGCTTTGAAATAATAGCAAAACACAGTTAAGAAATAATCAGGTATGTTACCTCAGGCTTATCTGTAGTCATATCTGCACTGGCTTCCAGCTCTTTGATATGAACATTTCTGATGCAGACAAAATCACCAGGACTGACTTTTCTGACCTCCCCCTCTACATGATTGTCATATAGAAACACCTCTACACATTTGCCAGCTGACTTGTGAATGAGCTCCTCTGATTTTAATTCTCCCTGTTCACTGAGTGGTTCCACTGAAGTTGATTGACAGGCAGGGGGTGATCCATCCCATAGAGTCAAAGCAATACCCTTGCTAGCTTCAGTGTAACTTTTTGACACGACTTGGCAGAGAAGGTTTACAAATGTCTGACTTGTGCTCAAGTCTTTCAGGTTAGTAATGACAAACTTCTTGTTTAGAGATTCCTTCTGCAATGCCCACAATTGTAATTCCTCAATTGCATCTTTTTCTTGTTCTGTCAAATTGTACGATTTCGATGATGCCCATGCTTGGTGGTTATCTGTGTAATTTATGTCAAATACAAGCCTGAAAATGATGACCAAAAATAAAGGGTTAACTAGATTCACAGTCATTCTCAAAATTCTGGGACTTTGTGTGACATATGTAGCAGCCTTGATCTGTAGGCTATTTGAACTCTTCTTGGAGCAGTTGGTTAATAAGACCAGGTAAAAAAAGGTGTTTTTTGTCTTGTCACGAATGTGGTACACAGGAAAAATTCTGAGTCCCCATGAAAAATCAAACATCAGACCATTGGATTTCATGCTCCAATGCTCTACCACTGAGCCACTGAGACTCTATGGTGAGTGAGGCCTGTTACGAAGTTCACATATAAGACACATCCTGAATACTGCTAAGACCAAGTGTTCCTAAAATAAACTTACCAGGTTGATTCAGGTAAGAACTTTCCTTGCATCTCTCCTTTGAAATTGCCAACAGCAACACTATGAAAACGCACAATGTCTCCTACAGATCTAATCAATGGCAACCTTTCCTTTGACTTTGAAAAGAGCACCAACTTAAAACTTTCTTCAAGGGAAGCCAGAGAGGGATCGACTAAGCTTAATGAGCAGACAAAATCAGAGCCCTTGGTCTTGAAGGGGCTCTTAAAGAACTTCACCACACCAAATACATTAACAGTGGTGTTAGCACGTATATCTGCCAGCTTTGTGTATTTCACAATTTGAGGTTGTAGGACAAGCCTGCTTCTTTTGCTTGGTGGTTCACTTCCTGTCTTTTCTGCACTGACAAACGCTGCACATTCTGATGCAAGAGGCAGAGGTCTCCGAACAACATTACCAACTGCGTTTAACATGTTATTAGAATCTCGCACAACCCATACTTTGAGAAATTTACAGCTTTTTTCGTCACCAATGATTTCAAATCTATGACCTTCCCTTGGTGAACTTTCAACCTTTGCTCCTTTTATCATAAGCACGTCTTTTTCCTTCACCGTCTTACACTTCTCTACAAATTTCCCCCTCAGAAAGACTGAGATGACATCTGGTGAGCCAGAATTAACATCTTTGATAGAAAGTTTCATCACCCAACCTGTAGATCTCTGGAAAATTGGGTATACTGTGATCAACACACCTGTGTAAAAGAAGTGTCCAAAAATGCTCTTTCAGTGCAAACATAGCATAAAGATCACAATAAGGAGGATATAAATAGTACGGATATCAAATTGCGAGTCACAATCAGCACCCACAGCTGAATCTTTACCTTTCACCATGCATGTGGAAAAATCCATATTTTGGGATACATCCTTTATTCTAATGCATTGGTAGGTGTTTTCAATTTTCTCTATTGAGCAAGCATCTTCTAGAATTTGTACAATTGCATCTTCTTTTTGCTCGCGGGAAATGTTCAAACTACCCGCCATTTTGGACAATCAGGATCTTGACAAGAATTCCTTTCGACGAAAGGCTTGAGCCATCAGTAATAGGAAGACTTGTCAGCGTATTCACATTTAACATGGCGGATTTGATTAACTTTATTTCAAAGAGGGAAATTGACGCGAAAAAAGAAGAAACTAGGAAAGCAAGAGAGCAAATCCTCAAAAAGGTAAGCCTCCTCGGTGGTTGATCAATAAAAATGCTTGAAAAATCGAGTCAGTCACGAAGAAATGCCTTCCACAGAAAAGCATCACGTATATCTTATCGAGTGCTTCTAAAAGTGCTTTTATTTGGCGCGTTAGACAACGGTTGAAGCATAGTTAAACGTTGATCTATCTTTCGTTCAGGCAAAAGGAGACTATGAGAGAGAGCAGTGGAAAAAGCAGAAGCGCATTGAGAGCGGAGAGACTTCGTGGATGTTACCATCCTTAAGCAATAGTTTGACAGTGGAGGACGACAGCCATAATGATAAGGTAGTGTACGTAGTTGTTGTCTCACTAACTGTGTTGTTTTCCTTCAGAACACTCATCAGAGTTCTTTATTCTTATTAGTGAAGTCCTTAATAATTATCAATGAAGTGAGTATGTAGCTGAAAGCTGAGGGAGGCTACTTACTACTAATATGATTTCTAGGAAGTATCCTCCTAATGGGATGTGTCGATAGAGAGGGTAGCACTTTCACGAATAAATTGAGTATAATGGGGTTGCATTTTCAATAGAGCTACTAGAATGGGGTCACACATCTTCAGGATTTTAGGAATAAGAAAATTCTGGAATTTTGTCACCGTTGGCATTGCCAAACTTACATAAGATTGATTGTGTCTATCATTAGGGCTCCAAAGAATATACTATAATTTGGGGTAGGGGCTCTGAGAAGCCAATGGCACATACCTAGTAAAAAGTGATCAAACCCCCCCCCCTCCCCCGTCCCGCTAAGGCTAAAAGGCTTCAAATCACAACTTACCTGAAGGGTTGGAAGACTCACATGGCCATGTTAATATTGGTTTAAGTTATGCTTCTGATTAGCTGAGAGGATGGAGTAAGTTTTCTTGAAGAATCACAGAGCAAAGTTATTCAATGGAAACATACTCTTTAGGGTGATCAAGATAATCTACATGACTGTTCTATTTTTGAAAGGATAAATCGAAAAAAAAGAAACACAGGAAAGAGAAGAAGCAAAAAAAGGACAAAAAGGAGAAGAAGGTAAGGATTCCTCAAGCACAGGCTTGGTATTCTACATTTGGCAATGCAAAGGTTACTCAACCTGTTATATAAAGGCTGCTTTATTAAAAGTCTCATCTCCATGATATCAGGATGAAACCCATTTTATATTACAATGTGTCCTGAGAGTCAGTAGGGTAGCAGAATAGCACATGATCAGAGTGAACTTTTTTTTTTCACTTCTCTGTGACCAGTAAATCCTTTGACCCCAAGAGCGACTGTATTAATTTCTCTTTACAATATCACCCCAGATTCAAACATTAAGGTCATGATCACCAACTAAATAAACTCTTGGTTTTTAAACAAATTCTCCTTGTCAGCATTGTAGGAATGTATAGAGAACAGTATGGAGAATATGCATAGTGATGTTAGAGTGTAAAGAGTTAAAATATAGCATGTTCTGTTTCATTATAGCACAAGAAGCAGAAGAAAGATACTAGTAAAGAAAACATGTCCTCAGATTCGGTAAGTGTCCATCACATGTTTTCTTTTCTTCCCTGATGAAGAGCCAACTATGTCACATGCTCATGTTCAATACCATTCCACTGCATCCTGCTGTAAAGAATATTCTGCTCACGTAAGGTTGTGCTCCCTCTCACCCATTTCCTTTGCCGTCACCTCTAGGAGTTACAATTAACTGTCAGAGATGTGAACATGTAACTTCTCCCTACAATATCCACCATTATCCAGCAATCAGGGTATGAGAATACTCAGACTTATCAGGTAGAAGTTGTGTTGATCTAACATCAATTCCCAAAACTTAATTACAAGGAATTATGTGGCAGCTAGAAGGGAGAATTAACAATTAGATCTTGGGAGTTCAAGGGCTAATGTCAAATTGATGATGGAAAAATGTTGAAATTATTCAGTGTCTGCCAGAAAAACTATTTACCTCAACCATTGACACAGGTCTGTAAATAACATACCAGCACACCATTGACAAATTAAAATGTTTTGTTCTATCTTGTCTGGTAACTGTTTATTATTTGCAGGAGTCAGGAGATGAGTGGGTTGAAAAAGAAACAACTGATTCAGTTACATTGTCAAAACCAGGTGAAGTTCAGGTAAGTACTTTAAATTTAATGTGATTATTTTGGAATTAATTCTGAGCTTAAGGACAAGTTAATTTTGACTGATTGTGGTGGGAGCTACATTGAAAAGAAAATGCCTTATTTAAATTTAGAGGTCAAAGGTTGAGTGACGAACCCTGATACAAGAGTAAATATTGCAAAACAAGAGAGAAAATTGAATAAAGAGGCTCTTGTTTGGTAAACAAATTCTCTTTCTCAGCACCTCAGAAAATGTATAGAGAACAGTATAGAGAATATGCATACTGATGTTTGAGTGTGAAGGGTGAAGGAGTAACTTGTGTTTTCATTTGCAACAGGTAATGCAACAGCAGCGTGACAGCTGGATGCTGTGTCCACCAGTTACATCAAGCTCCCAAGACCCAGTGCATCAGGAGGAAGAAGAAGATAAGGGAAGCAAAGATGATGAGGAAACAGAAGCTCTGTCTTGCATTGATCGGGTAAGATAAAGGAACAATTTCTTATTTCAACTTAATACTCCTTTTTACATGATTTAATATGTGTAAAAAGGGTAGAAGGCTTTTATAAAGAGGGGAATAGGTATAAAAAAGGTTTGGTGAAAATGGTAACAATGGAATTTTTTTTTTAAATTGTCTTAAACAAGGTTGATTGACATTTACTTATGTTCAAGACACGTAGCTGTTGTAACAGTAAAAGCGAGACATTATCTTTTGAACAGTAAACTTTATTACACGAAAATAAGCTAACAGGATAACATATTAAAACTCAGGTGAAAGTGAAGGTGTAACTGATGAAAAAATGACAACAACCTGACCAAAAGACACCAACGAGGGGGATGAGAAAAGAAAAGAAAAAATGAATTATTAAATGAAAAAATTCCAAAACTAATTAGGCAGCGTTTGAGTCATATTACTACAGTCTGTAAAAAAGACTGAGGTCAAACTTATTTGAATTTATTTTAAACTGAAGCCATTTAGATCATGTCGACCGTTAAGAAGTAGTGACATTCATTGTTATTATTATTGGCACTCATAGCCAGGACAGCATGCTAAAGAATTGAACCCATACTGGAGAGATGGAGGTACAGGCTTACCATCTGAGAGGAAGAGTTCACAGGACACCCATCACAAGGAAGGTAACAAAGCTTAGTTAACTCCTTACTAATAAAACCCTTTCACTCCCACAAGTGACAAAAAATTAAAATTTTCCTCTCAATATCAATACGTTTTCTAGCAGAAAGACGACGAGAAGTGAAAAAATTCTTAATCAGGGGACATTTTTTTCAGTCGCTTTGGTCGCAATTATAGAACATATGCTCTAACTGGATTAGAAAGGAGCAAATCTCGATCGAGTGTCGTAAAACAAAACCAAAGTTGTCATAGAGTGCTTTCGATTGAGTGTTATAAAACCAAAACAAAAGTAACCACAACAGCCAACAACAGAGGAGAGGAAGATACCTTTTAAGAGCCAATGAAAACGTAACGTTAAGACAACCAAACTGCCAAAAGCGCGGGAAAACGCGTGACTGGTTTTAGTTTTGCATCTGATTGGTTGATAGAGTGGAGTGAGTTTTCTTGACCAATCACACAAGACGTAAAAACAAAGCAAACCTGGATTACTTTGGACTCTAAATCAAAATGCGTTCTATCTGCCATACAGGATAATAAAGATTATAGCTAGGAGTCCATCAATTTCAAATTAAAAGCAAGCAAACTACCTCCAGCGTTGGAAAGCGCAAATTACGAGTTGCAGTTGGCTTTAGTTCAGAAGCTAAGGATGCGATGATGGGACAATCGATAGGAAGCAAAATCAGTACTATACCTGACCAAAACAAACACTCCTTTCAAAGCTTTCTCTCATATGTGATGCAATCCTACATTAGGTGCTGTGCAAGACTCTTTTGAAGTGTCCTTTACGAAGGTGATCATGACGATACAAGAAAATGCTTGTTATTATCCTCTCTTAGGAAATGCCGGACATTCGTTTAGCAGCGCTTGGTTGAAGAGAGCTTATCAAAGGGCCAAAGATGAAGCTGAGGAAGAGGGCAAGAAATTGGCTGATATTGTCGCAAAAAGATACGGGGTTAGTCTTTTTTTGGTCAATTTACAGGGTCTCAAGCTCAAATTTTGTCCAAGTCGTAATTTAGTGACGTTGTTTTAGTCCACAGAACAAAACTTGTGGAAAGTTGTCAGCAAAAGCCCGCATGGGAATTCGGAGACCAGTCAATTTATAAGCAGCTCATTTGATGTAGATCCAAATTTTGCAAATACCCCTTTTCCTGGCACTGATGGAAAATCCTTCTTTTTATCTCCTTCATAATGTTAGTCTGTACAGAAACTGGAAGCTATGATCAAGGAGGCCGAGGATAGGTATTGCTTCTTTGTTTATTTAAACCTTTTTGGTTCATGTATTTTGTAATCATTAAAAAAAAAAAAAAAAAGAAAAAAGAAAAATGGTTGGGCAAAGTTGTCTTCATCAGAAGGTGTACAGTATCGATTGCATGTCGTAAAACCAAACCAAAGAAACCGCAATGGCCAATCAGAACAAGAGAAAATATCACAAGTAACCACTGGGAACCCATGTCAAATGTACGATATCCGAGCGCAGGAAAACCCACATGATCCAGTCGCGATTGGTTTTATTTCTTATTGGGATTGATGGGGAGGATGATAAGTTATTTTCTTGACCAATCTCAGTGCACAAAACTCCTCTTTAGAAATAGTACTAACCGTGATTGAATTTCAGACGCTAAAGAGACAGGGTATCGATGCGACGGTTCTGATATGATTCTTTGTTTGATAACTTAGAGAAGAAAAGCTTAGAGGAGAGGAATCAAGGAAGAGGGACAGAGAGAGATACAGAGGCGATAGAGAAGGTAGAGACGATCGACATCGTGACAGAGACAAAGAATGGAGACGAAACCGGGACAGAAGTCCTATGGACAGATATTCTCGGGACAATGGAAAAACTTACAGGTCTACGAGGGAAGAAGATGAAAATAAATGGAGAAGAAGACCGGAACAAGAGGAGACAGGACGCGAGCGACCTAGAGATGATACAAACAGATTTGCACGTCCTGGCGACTTCGCCGGCGACAACAGGTACTGAGTTCTGTTGCTGTGATCTGTCACACAAATTCTGATATGAGCGCAGTGGTGACAAAATTCTGGCGAAGAGCCAAAGAGTTTCACTATAATTCCCTGGTCATACGAGGGAAGCTGTCGCACGAACTTGTCATAAAGCTGGTACATATTGAGCAGCTTGCCGCAGAGACTAGTTGTTGCAAATTGTCCCTAAGAGTGACTGGCATCTAATTTCTCCTTAAAACATCACCCTTGAATAAAACACGAAGGTCACGAGAATAAAGAAAATGATTACTAAACAAGGAAGCTCTTGATTGTCAAACAAATTCTCCCTGTCAGCACCTCAGGAAGTGTGCAGAAAACAGTATGGAGAATATGCATGCTGATGTTAGGATGTGAAAGGTTAAAGGAGAAGTATGTTCCACGAAATATACAATTTCGATCTTCGTCGTTTAAAAATATAGGAAATAGAATTCACTACTTTCCCGGTGTGCTATTCTTAAGCGAAAATTTGCCTCAAATGAGCAACTCAGTAATATGGACGAACACACAAAAGAAATGTGCGCGGTTCCCTGGAAATCGAAAAAAATTAGAAAAGATTGGCATGTTTCGAAGAGATTTCTAAGGGATAGAGAAAGGAGGTGCGAGATTTAGTTCTGACACAGAGAGAGAGAACACAGAGAGAGAGATAAGAGGTTGCCGAATCAAAAGAATCAGTAAGAATCAAAATGTGTCCACGCTGTAAAATCTTGGGCACATTTAAAGATACTTTTTTGAAACGTTCGGCTGCTGTTTGGAATCTTAAAACGCTGCCAGAATCATGGTTTCATCTATAATTTTTAATGGCGGAGACTAAAGTAATATATGGTCTCTGGAGTGTAAATCTCCCAGGAAAGTCGACAATGAGGTTTTGAATTGTCATTCGTTCTCAAAATTTTCACAGGTCATCCTTCGTTGGTAAGTTTAAGCGTCCTGGCTCTTCGACATCCACACCTCAGAGGTCTTCAACTTGGGACTTCGACTCGAACAAAAACACGATTAAGGAAAGACACTCCTACGACAGACCAAGCTCCAGTTCCTCGGGCGGATGGAGAAAGAAGCCAGATATTGGAACTGAGAAGGGGTCGCCCCCACTGGAAGTAAAGCGCACCGAGGATAAGGAATCAGTTCCGGAAGTGAAACTGGAACCAGAAACAGACAGCAGCTCGAGCTCTGAGGAAGAAGTCGAAGAGAAAAAACCAGTTGTGATTCCTGCAAAGAAAATCACAGAAAAAGATTTGAATGACATTGGGGCGAAGATTGTTAAGGCGGAAATCATGGGAAACGAGGTGAGCGTTGAAAATCTCAATATTTTGCCGGCTTCAATACATGAAAGTAGTTTCTTGAAGTGTAAGCTTTTCAGTAATAAAGTAGCCGACTTAAACAACTTGACAGACTGTGCAAAGGGAAACGTGTTAGATTAAGAGGTCATTTCACGCAAGGCGATCCGTTCTTGCGACACACTGTTGTTGGGTTAGCGCTGTAGTGACAATTTAGCTTCGTGTGACGTGGAGAATTTCTTTGTTTATCTTTGTTCTCGCAATAGAATTTCGTCAAACTGCTTTCACCTCGTGTCTGTTCGCAGCGAGAAAATGATTTGCAGCGACTTGGAAATACATACTGAGGGCTTTGTTGCATAGATCTTTTCCAGCGACTTTCAACTCAAGAAAATGCTCAATTAATGCTGTCGTTTCAAATTTGCTGACATTTTTAGCTGCTTGGTTAGTTTTGCTTTTAATGGATGGACATCTTCCGAAAATTCCCCAGGATTTAGCAACTAAGTTGAAGGCCCAGCTGGAAGAAATGAGAAAAAACAAGAAACTTCAAGAAGCGCAAGTGGAAGGAAGCAGTACAACGGAGGAGCAGATGGTTTTATTAACACGAACCGATGCGACAGGAAATGTGTGGCCAGTGGAAATGACAGCTGAGGAAACGAGGGGAGGACGAAAGAAGCGACGAAAGGTAAAAACATTAGGGAGAACTGCTAACTAAAAATTTTTGTTACACTTTCGTTTGTTGAAACATGCGAATGCCACTTCACAGTTTTTCCTTTATCTACCTTTCGTTGCCGTTCCTTAGTCAATAGTGTAGACGAGATATCTTCAATGAACACGTATGAGACTTTACAATATTTTTAAGGTTTTTTGATCCCTGAGGTTGTCGTGTTATGGTGTTTCGAGAATTCTACTGATTTTGAATGAGCTCCACAGCCCTTTTACTCCTAAGATCTGAATATGAATTCTCTGCACTGTCTACCATACGTTTCTTTTAACTGTAGCTCTGAGAATTCAGTGTGAAATCAAACAATATTCCTTTCTTGACATTTTCCTTTCTTCCCATCACCTCTCTGTTTGAAAAAGAGGTTTCATCGCGAGGAGAAATTTCTTTCTGCTCATTCTGGGAAGTCAAAGGTTTATAGAGTTTTTCTGTTGCCCATTGTGGAGTTGTTCACACTCGTAGTTGTTTGAGAGCTTGATTTAAAACAAAACCTGTAAACCGAAAAAGATCTTTTGACCGAACAGCTCTTTGGTATGTATCTATCATTGTTCTTACACAATGTAGGTAGCCACACATGGTAAGGAAGGCAAAAGAGAGAGGTACTTCGCAGATGACGACAATTATGATCTGAAGGAAATGGTGAGAAGAGAGAAAACGAACTCTGGACGAAATGATCCCATGATGGCAAAAATGTTCAAGGTAATCAAAGGCACGCAAT